CAGCCGACGCGGGGCGAAATAGGGCGGCCAAATAACTCTACACTACACACCTTCCTATGAAGAAGAGGTCCCCGACTCGGACAACAAACACCGCGCGACTGTATTGGTTCCTTCAACAGACGATTAATTTACGTCGCGGGTGAGACATCTCACTCCCCCTACATAGCGAAGAGGTGTGAGCCATATCACGCCACGTACACCGACGGCTTCCGCCACGCATCCCCGCAACGGAAATCTATTTCCAATTATATTTATTTTTTAACCATCCGCCCGCGCGCGCGCGCGACGCGGGGCCGCACGACCACCAGATTTGAAACGTCAGATGCGCCATCCCGACCAATAAATCGAGTCTAGACAAAAGGACGGGCGCGCGGGGACGGCCTAAAATACACGGCGCTCTATAGCGAGCCGCGCGAGCGCTAACTGCTATCGAACACCTCCGTGGAAGAGTGGGAACGGGAGGAGGAGGAGGGGGTGGGGGTGGGGGGATGCACGTGGACCCACGCACGTAGCGTCCCCTCTCAATAGCTGCTCGCGATTTGGAGACGCCCCCTCCCACCGCGCATAAGTAAGTGTGTTGTACACCGTTCCGCGGAACGGCCGCGCCAGCTCATGCGTTGCGGCGGGATTGCACCACGCGTGGGGGCTGTCCGTGCCCCGACCTGCTGTCGCTGTCCCCGCGCCTCCTCCTGGCCTCCCCGGACACGGCGGGGTCCAGGCGTCCGGCAGGCGGTCGGTGGTCGCGGCGGTGGCGGTGCCGGACGGGCCAGGGCGTGACCATGCAGGGCCCAGACGCCTCTCAATGACCCCGGCGGCCGCCCCGCCCCGCCCCAGACAGACAGGGTCCACCCGGACTGAAATAGCCGCGCCCCGTCCCGCCGCCGTCGTGGAGCGCGACGGTGTGGAGCTGAGCTGCTGGGGGTCCCCTGGCGCGCGCGCGAGGGGGGAGGCCCCTCCCCAGCCTTCCCGGCGCGGCGGGGCGGGGTGGGGAGGGGCGCGCTGCACCCGCAGGAATGCTCGCCCGGCCGCCCGCCAGGTAGGCCGCTCCGCCGAGCAGCCGCGCGCCGCGGGCTGGCCTATGTGGGGCGGCGCCCCGGCCGGCCGGCCGACCGGTCGGGGTGGGCCAGACACCAACAGCTGATCGCCGGCTTCGCCAGGGTGACGCAAGCAAAACAAAGGCATTCCTCCTGTGCCAAAGGCGGTGGTGGGCGGCCGGTGTGGTGCATTTTGGACGCGGTGGCAGCAAGCACAGCCAGCACAGCAGCGTCGGGCTGCCACCTTTTCTTGGCTTGCAGTCCAAGCGCTAACCTTCCCCAACACTCTCGGCAGCACCCCCTTCTCTCCCCCACACACACACAAACGCACACTCAATCTCTCAACGAGACGAGAGTAAAAGTCTTTTCATCATTGACGACGAAACGCCGCGAAACGCCTCGGCTCGGCCCGCACCAAAAACACTCATATTGTACGCGTTATAATGGGCGCGAAGCTGTGACGGACGGTGACGGGCGTCAAGAAGACGCGCCGTTTGGAGCCGGTGTAGTAGGTACTTTCGCGCGGCGGCCCTCCCAGTCCAGTCAGGCACATTCGGCGTGGTTTCACCCCTCGCGGTTCCACACGACGCGCGGCTCAAACTGCCCGCAGCCGAGGAGACGGGTTTGGGCGGCGGCACGTCCAAGAGGCACTCCCCCGGGGCCACACGCGCGCGCCGCTGCGGGTGTCATCCGCACGTCAGTGGCGCGTCAGCGCGGCCAGCACGTCCCTTGGGGGGCCCGGTTGGGCACCGGGCCGCTTATTGCGATTAAAATGGAAATAAGAAAATGACGAGAAAATAAATGAGCGTTATCGCCGTCGCCATAGCCAGCGCACAGCAGCGTATTGCTGACGATTGAAAGAAAACGGCCGACACAGCGGGTCATTCGGATAATGCGACTCGAAACGGACGTTATTCGGGGAGATGAAAACTCACTACACTTGACTGACTGGACCTGCTGGATCGTGAGTTTTGCTTCCATCTTCTGCAGATGCGCCCGCCTGCTGCAAGGATAGCACCAAGGCAGTGAAAGCTGAAAGGGACACCGCCAGCGACACGTGCGCGCTTCAGGAAAAGCAGCCGAGACGACGTCTCGTCTCATTACATTTTCTCCCGTCACTTTATTGTGCCCGGGACGCCCGCGAGAGCGCTGCTCGAGAGGCTCACCTCCTCCCGGGCCTTAATCATGGAAACACCTGCGGGGATGTTTTACTCAATTACACAGGCGTCCCTGATCCACTTTTTGCCAAACAAATAAGTAAAAAAAGAGAAATGTGTGAGTATGTATTTTTTTTTTCAAGAGAAACGCGCGCCTACCTTTTGGAAAGGCCGGCATGCATGCAGTTACGTTACGAGGGTTAGAAAACCACACCGCTAATATTTCAGGCGACATGTCCCAGCGATCATTATCATGACGGCCACGATTAGCGGCGTGCATACATACGCATGATGAATGGGTGATAACGCACGCAACCACACTGTTAGACATTACGAGCACAAAACCTTTTTACCCCCCAAGTCCCATATAACATGACAGACCCGTATTTGGAACATATTGGTCCGACATGAGCCGTCGCAATGGCTGCCATCTTCGGGCCAGAGGGGGGGGGGGCGATCGTAATGAGAGAGAGGGAAAGAGAGAGGGAAAGAGAGAGGGAGAGAGAGAGGGAGAGAGAGAGAGGGAGAGAGAGAGAAGCAGCCCGGACGGGCCCTCACAGCGTGACAATCAAATGACTATAACACTAAATAGCTCATTTTCGTTGATGGTGGCGAGAGGCGCCACACCATAGGACACGGTTCTTGTCCACGTCGTATTTTGTTTTAATTGAAAGATAAAATCAAGTTGAAAGGATTTCTCTACTACTGTTGATACAAGTTGATTAGCCAAATTACTCGCAAGTTGCTGTTATATTTAGACTTAACCACATCCGGCACCAAGCTGGCGCAACGAGAGTTCGAATAAG